AACCTACTAGCGATGGCCTCCAACCTATTAGCGACGACCTCCAACCTTCCAACCTGCTAGCAATGGCCTCCAACCTACTATAGGGATGGCCTCCAACCTACTAGCGACGGCCTCCAACCTACCAGCGAGGGCCTCCAAACTAATACCGATGGCCTCCAGCCTCCAACCTAGTAGCAGTGACTCCAACCTACTAGCGATGGCCTCCAACCTAGCTACGTGGCCTCCAACCTACTAGCGATGGCCTCCAAACCCACTATAATATTGGCCTCCAACCTACTAGCGATGGCCTCCACCCTATTAGCGAAGACCTTCAACCTACTAGCGATGGCCTCCAACCTGCTAGCAATGGCCTCCAACCTACTAGCGATGGCCTCCAACCTACTAGCGACAGCCTCCAACCTACTAGCGAGGGCCTCCAACCTAATAGCGATGGCCTCCAAACTGCTAGCAATGGCCGACTAGGATGGCCTCCAACCTACTAGCGACGGCCTCCACCACTAGCAGTGCATGGCCTCCAACCTACTAGCGCCTAGTAGCAACGCCCTCCAACCATGCAGGGCTGGCCTTGTGCCAAGGTGCTGCTGTACAAGTTCCCACACAAACACCGCGTCACTCCGTCAACGAGTGGGCGGGGACGCCTGATCACCCGTATTTCTGGTCTTTGTGCAGAACCGGGCCCTGGTCAGATTGAGCAGGTTGTGATTGGCAAACAAATCTGTCCGTTTTCAGGTCGTTGAGTGGGGCTTTGGAGAAGAGCTTTCTCGCGCTGGAGCGATCGCACAAGGACAAGAGGCTGACGCGGTGTTCAGATGGAAGACTGGCATGTTCGGATTGCCTCAGTCGGCTGTTGGATTGTGGCTTGATGGGCTGTTGCACGGAGTTTATTTTTGGAACAAACAAATCAGGACAAAGAAGGACAGGTACCTGTCCGGACCTGGTCCGGAAACCGTCTTGACTGACCAGAACTCACACAAACAAAACAACAGCGGTTCTTTAAGAACTATAGTCAAATTTGCTAAAGTGGAGCGCCCACACTTTGCCCAAACTGTTCAAACACTTCTGGTAAACCCTTGGAAGCTTTCGCCTTTCTGACCATGTACAACCCTTTGGTCTCAAATCGTTACAACAAGTTCCAATCTTGTCTAACATACCTTGTTTTCATCGGACTGTCCTCACCTAAACCACGTCGTGCACTGTGCACCGCTCGAGTTTTACATGTCCCCAGATCAACGGAGATTCTTGCTAGGAACAAAAAGGGCATCGCTACTAGGAGCAAGGACGGTACTAGGAACAAAGAAGATTCTTGCAAGCTACCAACAATCACCACCGATTACAAAGAATCCACCACAGATCACACGGCAGTGTTGACAGATCGAAAAGAGACACAGATGGATGTGAACTTGTCAGGTGCGTGCCATTCACAGCTTTCAAGTTTGGTGCATGGGAAGCAGGGTGCGAGGAGACCAAAGCTGGTTCAATGCAGAGTTGTGGCGTGTGACTGTTTGACACTTGTCATGTTGGAACACGGGAGCCATGTCATCCTTATTATGGTGCTGCTGTGAAGGACACCATAGTCAGATCTTGTTGGAGTTTGGCATGGAGACGGAGGTGTGGACTTCAAAGCAGCGCTAGGCGCTAACCGGTTTTCGCGACAAACATCTTAAGGGAACCCTAAACGAAAAAGTGCGCTTGGCGTGCACCTTCTCGGACCGAGCTGCCAAGCGGAGAGGAGCTCGCCCCGATCACCGCTCCTGGCATGCAATGGCGCGAGACGTCGGATCCATGAGCTGGGCGCAGCCATCGGTTGGGAACATCCGCTCAACGTCCGCGCTCCGGCGCTCCCTTTGCCGCGCCAACTTCGCTTCTCGCACTCGCGATAAAAACATAAAAGCTGCAACCTCGTCGACTAGTATCGGGCGCGCGATGTTTCACGACCCACCTGGACGAGCATGCTCTCTCCGGCTGATCAAACGGTCGATCGGATTACCTCCCCAAACACTAACTTGGTACGCCTAAACCCTCGTTGTTGCAAATTTCCTGTTGCGAACGCCGCTGCAAAGACATGTGTATATGTACAAACGGCCCCGGTTTCTAAGATGCTCGTCAGTGTTTTGGTCCCGTGGTGTTTCGGCTTCCAGTGAATGCACACCGCATGCCCTGAGTGCGGCCTTTGGAGCCGAGTTGGTGGTGGGCATTGCTTCGTTTGCCGGACTTTGGTCCGTATTCGGGGCCTTTGCCGCTGGGGCGCTCTCCTTGAAGAGCCAGGAAGAGGGAGCGCTCCTGATCTTGTGTGGGGTTGCAGGGCCTCCAGGACCTGGCCAATCTCGCAGCCCCTGTCCTCGAGGCAGAGCGAAGAGCATCGAATCCAGCTGGCGAGCATGGGAGCCGGGCCGCTCCTGTGAAGCAGCCCCTCAGGTTCCACCAGGTGACTTTGGTGTCGAGTGTCGACGAGCACTGAGGAGAAGGAGCCCATTGAGGTCGTCAACAAAACCTTCACACACTTGGACCGTATCCTTCTACAAGGGAGGTGGCACACACAGTGCCAGGATCTACTTGAATGAAGGTTTAGCTGTCCTGGCACAGATGAAGGTCCCAAAGACTGATCATCGTCTGAAGCCTTTCCTCACTGTTTATCACAGTTTTATCGCTCGCCCCAAAAATCTCCACACTTGAGCCTCCGTCCGTTGGCGGAAGGACTGGGGGCCGTGGAAAGGGCATGAAGAAATCGTCCAAAAGAGCCAAGAAAAAGGGATAGGACCTGCTCGATTTTTTGACCGTCCACCTGAAGGTTACTACCACCGGGTAACTCGAAGGCTAGGCTCGTTCGATGGTGGAGTAACCAGGGCGAACCCTTGCACTCTGGGAGTGGCCGGGTGTCTTGGGTCGACCCTTCTAGCTGACAAGGATGTCAGGGATTCAGGATGTTCGGTCCTGGTATGTTGTAAGTCTTGATTGATTATTGACCAACCTGCTGCGAAGTGGACAAAACAGATTTTCGACGCATCTATATATATGATAGCATCACTAGCTGTCGCACAATGCCTGCAAACAGGCCATTGGAAAAAACGTCCCGCCCGGTCCGACGCAGCTCGCAAGGTGTGAGTGTCAATTTCCCTGAGCTCGGGTTTGCCAAGGCAAAGCACGGAAAACAATGGGCGGACAGAAGCGCAACTGGCGCCGTATGCCGTTTTAGTCCACACACCTCGTCGCCGTGTCCGCCGCCTTCTAGCCAGCCAACCAACCAACTAAGCAACTCAACTCACACCAACTCCACCTTTCCAACCTCACAAGCTTCCCAACGGCTGTCCCAAAACAAACCCTAAACCATCCTAAACCCATAAAGGTTGAAAGTTCGGGCGGTGTGGGTTCACCATAAGCAAGACAACGCAATTCAGAACAGTGAGAAGATGAGAACACTCGACAAGTCACTAATGTGAACCAACTGGCTGTGAAGAGTGTTTATCTAGATAGATAATTGATGATACTTGCTTTGAAACCGCTGTGCAAACTCTACCCTTGTACCTCTCGCTTAAGAGTTTTTGGGAAGAGTTCGGAAGAGCATAAGAAGCCTGAGAATCAGATATTAATAATTAGTCATTAAGAACCTATTGAAGAACATAAGCACCCCAAGCAAAAATAAACAGATCATTAAAAAATCCTTAAGACATTCAGTGTTTCTCATATGTCCTGTTGTTTCAATTTCATGTTGAAGCGCTCTAAGGTTGGGCCTGAGGGCATGCTGAAGCTCAGGACGCCGGAAGGCCAATCGGGCGCTTCAAACGCCTTACAAAGGCCTTTTTTTCCTTGTTTATTACAAATAAATTGTTTGCTTCGCCTTTTTGTTCAACTTTGCTTTATCCAGGCTTCGCTTTGGAGCTCTGGGAAATCAGCTCACAACCCTTGCGATGTGAGCCCTTCACACCCCTCGCGGCCATTGACTCAAGGAAAATGTTGGGAGAGCTGTGAAGTTTGCTGAGACACCTGTTGACTGTGTTGACAACTGTTAATTCATTTTTGCTTTGTGTTCTTGGCATCTCCTAGGTGTTTCTAGCTCTCCCGGTCGACAATTCAAGCCGCAAGCTCAGAAACACAGAGAGGCTGCAGATATGGTTATGGGGCTGCAATTGACGTCACATCGGTCACATCTTCTTTGGTTACATTACCCTGTGAATGGAGTGTGTAATATAAGTGTATGACAGTATGTGTTATTTGCGAAGTTGACAGAGTTCAGGTTCTACATTGCTTCTCAAGACAGAGCAAAGCATACGGCAGCTTCCTCAGCGGTGCACTGGTGGATGAACATGTATAAAGCGTTTCATTACTTCACAACGGAATATATTTGTTAGGGAGGCGAGTAAAAGTAGTCTCAGGGCTGGTCGATGGTGCTTCGCGATTGCTGGTCCTTTGCCAGAGGAGGCCGCAAAACAGAGGAGGGGTGTGTATACATACATATGTGTGTTTGTACAGTTGTATCTGTTTGAAAATGCATATCACACACACACATTCATGTAACTTTACCCTTTTATCAGCTCCCTAACTAGGATCCACGTTTATAGGTCTTTAAGGGAGCTTTGGCCACGAATTTATTGGTGATTGATAGGTTTAATGATGGTGGGTTCATAGTTGGGGGGGTAGGCGGTCGTAGCTACAAAGCCTAAGTACATAGCCACTCAGTTACTGGAACCATGCAGAAGCCGCCTTGATGATTTGGTTCCTAGATGGTTGGGAAAACACGTCCTTGACAGGCGACATCTCCAGCCTTGTCCTGAGACAATCACGTGTATCATATTTGAGGCTATAGGCCTCCAGCACCCTGGCGAATGAGAGGGAGCAAACACACCTGAGGTTGTGGTGACATCCTTTGTTTTGGAAAGTCTTGTCACGGAGCAGGACTTTCAATCGTTTTTGTTCAGCAGAACTTTGATTATTTTTTGTAATTCTTAGATTGTTTGACATTCTGCAATCTTGAGAAGGATGTGGCTGACGTTGCAGCAGTAACTGAAGGCTTCCACATCAGTCGGGCGCTGGCCTTTGCTTGGGAGCTCGGATTTGGGTGGGGGACTGGCAGGTAGCTGTTCATGCAGATGCAGTACATTGCCTACAGGCATAAGTCAATGACAAAGATGATGTGCTGGGCAGGGATGTGCGTCCCAAATCCTCCCGCTGGATTATTTGACAAGTTCGGATATTACTTGCATTCAACCAGTGGTGTAGAACAAAATGGAATTTGACGTGGCCATATACATTCGCAGAACAACAAGCGAACCAGAATCTCTTTGTTGTCCAATCCAAACACGAGAGAATGACCATTTAAACAAGCTGTTTGGGAAGCATGCTTGTCAATATGCTGACAGCCTTTTCAATAGGTTCTCTTCTCAAAAAGTAAGGCTGGACTTGTGAACACTGTGGACTACTTTCTGTCAGGCAGAAGACCGAGACTTGAACTGTCCAGTCACATGAAATCGGTGCATAGAATGCCATTGCATTATTTGTGTTGTAAATTGAAATCAGATGGTCACATGAAATCAGTGTTCCAAATGGACTTGAATCATAATGCCAATGCTAGTTGCTCGCAAGTGCAGGTCGTGATGACCATCCTGAGAAGGCTTCAAGGTTGATCTTTGCATTCGAGTTGCAAGAAAGGTCTGGGCACTCGCTTTTGCAAAGATGCAATGAGGATGCTTTCATGGTGTTTTCGTGACTCGAATGGTCCAGAACTGCTTTTTCTGAGCCATTCTGCTTAACGGAGGCCAAAAGTCATTGGCAACTTCAAGATCGAAGCACGAAGCTGAGGATGAATGAACATTGGGCCTACAAAGAGGCACAAGCAACAAAAAAGTACATAAACTGAAAGGTTGCCTTTTTAAGGGGCCCTTCCTTATATAGTTACTTACCTTAAGCTGACCTTCCTTGCTGTCTCTTTTGTTTCCTTGGAGCACAAGATGTGCCGACATAGTCCCTAGATTTGAGTGTTTGAGGTTATTGCTCCGACAGACTACACCTTCCACAAAGCATGTTCAGTGCGAACAGGCACCAAATCGCTTTTAAACGAGGCAGCGTGTCCAGATTCTCCGAAGCGTTGACCTTCTCCTCCAGGCATTGATATATTTGGCCCAGCCGGCTATCCAGCTCTTCTTAGCCCGCACGAGACTCACCACAATGCATAAGAAAGTCCGGTCTCGCCCTTGCGGCATCTTCTGGCCATTTGAGGTTTGAGGCTAGTGTCCAAGTCTTGCACTGCAGCGGCTACCGGAACATAGCTAAGATGGAGGCAGCTTGAACAGTTCAAGAGAAAAGGCAGCGCCTTTTCATGCACTTTCTTGCGGCATGCTGGATATTCCTGGCCTATTTAGATGCCAACAGCGTATGTTGTTTTGTGATGCCTGTTGAATTGATGATTTGTCATCTCCAGGTGACCCCGGGCCTTCATGCTGGAAGGCGATATGCTCCTTAGCTTGAAGACAGATATCGACGATATGTGTTTTCATTTACCAAGCAAATTTCTGTAGTTGTTGTACTCGGCTTGAATTCTGTTTCAGTTTCCTATGCCTTCCTCCCTGCGGTTTCTTGCAAGTTCCAAGTGGCTCTACCATGGTGGCCTAGCAATTCCTCATCTTAGGCCTTTTCACTTCGTGTTGACGCTCAACCAGACTCGACGCCAGAGCAGGTGCCACAACACTAGGTAATTATTCTGCATGAAGTCGACCAAGAAGCCAATCAACCAAAGGTCTTGGAAAGCACCAAGAGACCAGCCGCTACATTCAGAAGCTTTTTCTCACACCAAACTTGTAACCAACAGCATTCCTTGGAAGTCAGGTGCTCAACGTCTGGTACTTGAATGTAGCTGATGAGGCGCAACCTGCTTCACAAAAAAATGTAGTCAGTTTCAGAAGGTGCAAACGGGAACGGCGGGTGATTTTTATGTTATTCAAAGTGAACTGTCCCATCAAGTGCAAAAACTGCCATTGGAGGCCATCGCTAGTAGGTTGGAGGCCATCGCTCTTAGGTTGCAAAACCTGCCTGGTAAAGGATGTGCCAGTGGTCTTGGACCATTCCATTCAGTTCCTGCCCAGTCTACGTGCTTTTCCTTCAGGCAACAGCAGCGCCGATTCCAGGCTACACCTTGTGGTCCTTTTTGAATTTGGTGACTTAGCGGGCAAACGGACAAAGCACACAGGTATATATAAGCTCTCTCTCTCTCTCTCACTCTCTCAAGCGGCTGGAAAGACTTGAAAAATATGAATATATATGACGAAAGCCGGCCGACAGGCTAGGCGCGAGCTCTTAGAGCGAACGAAGTGAGTTAAGGGGGTGCGGGGGGGAGAGGGTGAACCCGGAGCTTGCTGGGGGGGAGCGCTCCAAAGTGAGGGTCAGAAAAGCAGTGAAAATGGGGTCTGGTGATGCGAGTGATGCAATGGACGCCGAGTAGTGCATCATTAGCATCACGAAGGGCTGTGGTGGCTATTTGGACAATGGGCATTGAGCACTGGAGGAGACAGGCACCCATGTACAGAGCAACCATCCTAGTCTCTACTATACTTGCACCGTTTCGTCGGTCGAGCGGATGCTTCTCGCAGCGTCCACGCGCACCGAACGTTGTTCCGGCTTGGCCGCGCAGCTAGATAGATACAGAATAGATAGATCGATAGATAGATAGATAGATGGATAGATAGATAGATAGTGCTGGTTTGATAGATAGATAGTGGAAGAAGCAGGGCAGCCTTGGCCGAAACCGTGTCCCAGAGTGGCTGGTGCAGGAGTTTATCCACCAACCTGGAAGTCCAGTACTGACGTGTAAAACGCTTGGTTCAATAATGGCTGTGCAGTAACGGCTGTGCGGCTATGTTCACACTGGTGGCTCGACTTTTCGGGTCAATACAGTCAATGCACGGTTTGGCCATTGGCTGGAACCATGTAGCCGCTTCGAGCTTCGGAATCCTCGTTGCGCGCACTTGCGCAGGCAGCAAGATGGTTCTGGGAACTCCCTGGGAACGGTGAGACACGTCAGCGTGCGCGCAAAGGTATGAGGCTAGTTGGGTACGAACCTAAAGCATGCACACCAAAACCTTGGACATCCTGCACCCCATCGCTTGAGTCAAGCTCTCAAGGTTATAGTCACGGATCTATGCAATATTTTTTGATGACGGTTCGTGACACCGACGCTGAGGCATATAGATAGTTCCTGCCATCCTCCTAGTCATCCTTTCAGAGAAGTCTGGTTGGATGTGTTGGCGCTGGTATGGTAGTTGGTTGGCAGCGACAAGTTGCTATCAGAAAAGGACCCCGTGTAGATAGCAACTTCTCCGTGTTTTATGTCTCTGTGTTTTCGGGCTCTATGTCTCTATGGTTCTGTGTCTCTATGTCTCTGGGAAGAGAGGTGTAGCCACGACTTATGGTTATATTTTGGGCGGATCAGCGGCATAAGCGCAAGTAAAGTCTCCAACAGCACGAAGCGCCACTGAGAAAGTCTCTTTGCTGTCCAAGCCCTCCTCTGCTTTGGAACCTGCTCCGGAACCTTCTCCAGAACCTCCTCATGGACCTGCCCCGCAACCTTCTCCCGAACCTTGCCCCGGAATCTTCTCCGGAACCTGCTCCGGAACCGTTTGCCACACCTCCTCCGGATCCGCTGCGGAACCTCGTCCGGGACCTGCTCCGAAGCTCGCTCTGAGTCTGCTCCGAAGTCTTTCCTATGGCAGAAGACCCCTACGCTTCGCTGTTGGGGAATGATGATTGCTTCAAAGTGGAACTGCTTGGATGTATTGGGGCGGGCCAGTATGGTAGTTGGTTGGCAGCGACGAGTGCCTATCAGAAAAGGGGCCCGTGTAGATAGCAACTTGGTGGGGTGAAGAGATTGCTGTTTGAGGATGGGTTATAGTCACGGATCTATGCAATATTTTTGGATGACGGTTGGTGACACCAATGCTGAGGCATATAGTTCCTGCCATCCTCCTAGTCATCCTTTCAGAGAAGTCTGCTTGGATGTCTTGGGGCAAGTATGCTAGTTGGTTGGCAGCGACAAGTTGCTCTCAGAAACGGAGCCCGTGTAGATAACAACTTCTCTGTCTTTTATGTCTCTGTGTTTTATGACTCTATGTCTCTATGGTTCTGTGTCTCTATGTCTCTGGGACGAGAGGTGTAGCCGCGACTTATGGTTATTTGTTGGGCGGATCAGTGGCAGAAGCCCAAGTAAAGTCCCCAACAGCACTGACGTTTCTTTTTCCCGGATTCTCAAATAGACCACCAAACAGGGACGCTCGAGAGAGCACCTCGCCAGGAAAATCGAGAAAACCTAAAACATTCAACACTTCATGCTGTGCTCCGATCTTGATCTACTCCACGTTGATACAAACTCCACGAAAGCTACAGGCACTCAACAATAAGTGCTCCGCTATTTTTCTTCCCAATCTTGCATTACCATATTGGTCTCTCGCTGGCTTTCGTCCTCTCCTTTCTCAGGTATATATATATATATGCACTAGAAAAACAGAAGGGTTGGTCCCTTTGTTCAAGGGGCCGGTCCGGTCCTTTTTTTGTTCTTTTTATCCTTGTTTACCGATCTGCCAAGGGAGGATTGCCAACTAGAGTTGCTTTGAAAACACTATTGACTCAAAAGTCCATACCAGTCCTTATTAGGTGCCATCATGCAGATCCTTTAAGTGGCATATGTGTTGCCTGACTTCACGTCAAGTTAGCAACTCTCAAGATGTCAACCTAGGAACTTGGTATGCTGGTGCAAACCGTCAACACTGAGAATGAGGCCACGTTGTGAAGTGAGGGCCAATAGTTTGTACCGCACTCGTTTCGAAGCAGTTGTTTTTGCTACGATGCTTTGCAGGTTACCATACTCTTTCAACCGACAAACACGATCACCAGCAAGGAGCTTCAACAAGCAGGGAGAGGGAAGTTCACTGATGCTTTTCGGGGCAGATGTCGACTCTGTTAGAGAAATGATACTAGTTTCCTTGGAGAGTTTCTACAGATGCTATCAAAGAAACTGAAATTGCACATTTCTTGAGGATCACTTGGAAGTCGAAGCACCTCAAGGATTCTCAGTGTCGTCCGGCTGTGAGGCTCAGGTGCGGCACCAGACGACTGATATAAATCCTTGTAACTTATAACTTATAACAAGGCAAACTCAGCAGCCTCCAACCAAGCTGGAGATAGTTGTGAAACCGGTATTTCTCTACAATTCTCTACGGCTCTTGGGCACCAAAGAACAGCTGGCAAGCTGTGAACAACGAAATACAACATCTTGCAAGGACCGCTGCAGTAGTTTGCACTTTTTATCTCGTCAGCTTTGAGGTGCAGCAGCTTAGCCTTGACAGCCACAGCAAGGAATTGGACATAGATTTGCAGCCCGGCAAAGTCCAGGGAGCCGCGTGCACCGCGTGTGTGTTGCCCATTGCCGTGTTCTCCAGTTCTTGGCTTCGCTGAAAACTCCGCAACAAGACGACGCAGTTGGGTGCAGTCGAAGCCATTCTTCAACACAACTTTCTCACCAAGACTTGACCAACTAGACTTAACACATGAGTATAAAGCAAAGCACAAAGCAGTTGCTAAATCACCACCACCTATCTCTACAAATACCGGGGGGGACCTTGGTAACTAGGGATAAAGAAAAAACCATGAAATAAGAAAGAATAATCGAAAGGAAGAAAGATCTAAAGGAATCAATGAAAAAAGGCACAAACCTCACCAAGGATAGCAGGCTAGATTGGTGGAGGCGTCTGAAACAGTGGTAGGTGCAAAGAAACAAATGGAAACTAGATAGCTAGTTGGGCACTGCAAAGATGCAAACTGCTGCAACCGGCACTGCAGGCTGGACGTGCAAAAATGCAGGTCACATTTTCCCGTCCCGCCACCTGCCTAGATGTAGCTTACAGTCCATGAAAGGGGGCAGGAAAATGTAACTTACATTTTTCAAGGTGCCCCTTTCACTGGGGGTAGGGATGTTGCGAAGACCTGAAAGCAAAGCCATTCTTTTGAGCCGAGAGGAAATGCAAGGGTTCTGAATCTTCGCAGCCTGAATTTGTTCGATTTAAGGGAAAGTCAAGGACCAGACTTAAACCCTCGAAGAAAGCGCTTTGCTGTGGTTGATCAATTTGCCTTTTTGGCCTGTCACCCGTTTCCACTAGTGCATGTGGGTGTGTCCTTTAAGATCTGCGGCTTTACTGTGTTGACTTGCTGCAGACGCAAAAGCAGTGCCTAAAGGAGTGTCCAAGTGGGATCTTGGGGAGAAGAAAATACAGAGTTGGAGCTTGAGAGTTGAACCTTGACACTTCAAGGCCGGGTATTGTGTGCACTGGGCAACAGCCGCCCACAAATCACTTTCAGGCAAGCCATCAGTTCCTGTTGAGAACAAACGAGGTCCATTCCGAATATGTAGTTCGTGCTTGATGTTGCGAACATTAAACAAGGGCTGATTCACAGTCTACAATGTCGCTTGCCAGTTGCTAGCAGGTGCACCATGCTGCCTTGCTGGCTGGAGGCGGCCTTGATTCCACTAGTGGTTTTTGTTTGTCAGCTCTTTTTTGTGACAAGAAGAAGAAGAAGAAGTGAATCCACTGTACTTCAGTGGGACCTGTAGTATTGGCCGCAGACAGCATTTGCCAAGGCGTGCGCTACAGACTTTCCGTGCTGGTGTCGGGGAACTCGGCATTGGAACATAGAGGTAAAATGACTCAACATCTACATTGGAGGCCATCTCTTCTAGGTTGGAGGCCATCGCTATTAGGTTGGAGGCCATTGCTATTAGATTGGAGGCTACATCCCACGTCTTGAGCTGGTGATCTGCACTGAACAGATTGCACAGCTTCCTTTTTGGCCTTTCTAGGACTGACTTTGTGTTCTCCTGTGCTACATGTTATGCAGAAACTTCCCAGCTCAGATCATGCTCCTTTCCTTTTCCCCGCTGTTCGAGGCATGCTCGTTCCATTTCCACCCGAGGTGGAACCCCACAAGTAGCAGCTCTTCGGGATCCTGGCTGCTGCGGAGCTATCGCGAGGCACGGCGTCAGGGCTGGGCGGCGCCGCTGGGCTATTCTGTTCGACTCCGGGAAAGCCTTGGGGGCATTGTGGGATGCTGTGGGCAATGAGAATTTTGAGTGCCACACTTTTCAACAATGAATTTTGAGCAACGCATGAGATGAACCAAATCTGAAAAGTAGTTTCTCATAAAATCTAGGAAAAGAGAAAAATCTAGAATAACGCAATTTCGAATAAAAGGAAAACGATATCCAGCGCCGTTTCTGCTTAGCTGGGAGGATGGCCAACTCCTGGATGTCGGGGAGATCCCTTCGCTCGCCTTGTCGAGAAGCTTTAACCACTTTGAGGCCGAGTTGTTCCTGAAAGGCTTAAAGGCACATATTAGCGGAAGTTATTCAAGTGTGTGTCTTTCTCTCTTTTCGGGCATTGCACAGAGCCACCGAAGTGATGTTTGAGTAGCAGTTGAACAGCAAACCTGTACCTCCTGGCCGTTTTCGGTAAACATTCCATATGTAATATCCATATACATATATATGCACATGGTTGCTCGTTTCGGGCAGGAGCAAACTGACATATTTGCAAGCGATGATGTCTCAATTCTCAATCGTTCAATGTCATGTCATGTGCATACACACACATGTATATATATATATATAATACACCCCCACAACACCGCAATCAATAAACATTTACTTATTGTGCCTAGCGCTAAGCCATATATGTTGGATCGCGGACTTTCATGCACAGGTGGCTTTCCGGGCACGGAGTGTTGCAGGCTCAGCCTCGCTGAATTTGACAAAGGTCAACTCGCTCTTCTTTTGATCCTGATTGACCGCCGTTGCATGTACCTAACACCTGGCAACTGCACACAGTCGATCAGGATATCCCAAAGACTGAGGATGAACTTTCAGTTATGATCGCTATTGAGCTTCCACAGGCAAGCTTCCGAAAGCACAGATAAAGTGAAACGTCATTCAGGATTTCTTTGTTTGCGCTTCTATGAAAATGACATGGGGAATAGACAACAGTATTAGACTTGAAGTAATTTGTACAGTCAAAACACCGTAAAACCACATGTTCGCATCAGTCAACAGACAGCCTTCTGTGGACAATGGTTTCTATTTACTAGAAGCCTTTGTTCCTAGTAGCTTCTTGTTACTACTAGTAAGGCACTTGTTACTAGAAGCGATGCACTTGTTTCTACTAGACACACAGGTCAAGATTATGCGTTTGGCATCCGTCCCCTCCCTTGCTGAGACGCATGTCGTTGCTAGGTGCACCCGTTGGACTCGCTCATCATTGTCGCACCAGACGGCTTCAGCTTTGAGGCCTCCATTGATGACGAACAATGGTGGAGATTGCTCTTGTCATGGCATGGGGGTTGTTTGACATAACGAAAGCACTTTGTTGGTTGGAACAGGGCCAGTAAGAATTCCGCCAAGTCCTGAATTTCCAGGATTCAAGCGGATCCACATGCAGAGTGGAGGACGGGGAACCCCAAAGCTCAATCAAGCCCCAGGGTTGATTGTTCCAAAACACTCGCAATAGTGTTCTTTAAATCCGTTTCAAAACGTGTTTGTTTCATTCGCATTAATTGATGTCTTGAGCTCATTCGATTCAGCGGCGAAGGGTTTGCAAGCACTTCCTACACCTCGATGTAGAGGTGCGAAGCTGAGTGCGGATTTTGCATGCCTTATAGTAGGTCATTCAGAGCACAGGGAGCATGGAACTTGAGAAGACAAGCTTTCAATCTTTACGTTCGCTGATTATACCAGTAAAATCCAGTAAACAAGTCTCGGAGCTGTCCGGCAGCCTGTCCTCTCTTGATTCTTGAGGCCCTGAACTTCACTTTGAATTTACCTCGCAGTGACCTGATTTGTGCTTGCTGTCAGTTGGCATCCGCTGTTTGTCTTTGCTGAGGCTGATCTCAGGCCATTTCAATTTTTGGGCCCACTCCGCTTGGCCGACTCAATCTTTGTCAGGCGAGAGAGAAGCACTCTCGCAAAGTCATCAAGTCATTGACCCTTTAAGGGCTTGACACCAGCGAATGAAGTGTTGCTTCACCAACACAAGCCATAAAGCAGTGCAGGCATGACCAAATACATGACAAGCCGTGCTACGTGGTCTCAAAAGGTTCTCCACTTGGCGTGGGTTTTCTATTTGGGCTGAAAGTAGCTTTGCATGTAGGTTATCACTTTGGATATGTGTTTGCATTTTCTGCTAACAATTTGATCCACTTAAGCATTTAGCGTGTTGATTTGGGGTTGATGAAAGCTTCCAATCGAAATTGTAATGTTCAAACTTGTTTTGATCACTTGATATCGTTCTGGAGACAAGCTAGTCAGCGTGTCAGTTGCAGTTATGAAGATCAGTCCGTTTTAAAGTAAACCAGTGAGACTGATTGTGTGCAACTGTCTCACTGACACTGACCGTGTTTGGCTAAAGAAACAGGACGAAGTGAAGACTCATTCAAGGTAGGTATATCATAAGTGACACAATGATTGATCTGGCACAACTGAATGTTTCCTACTGACGGTCTACAAGACAACCGATTCCGCTTGAACATTGAGCCGACAAGCTTTCGCGATCTTGGGAGGCCAGGATGCCTTCACTGCGCGCTTGGAGAATGTCTGCGACTGACTTTTGTGTTACAAAGAACAGTTCAAACAAGGGTCTTTGCACTTGACTTGAACAACCTTCGACGTTTGAAAAGCTACAAACGGGTCCAACCAATTGCTTTGCAGGGCAACTCCATCTTGGCCAGTGGCTTGCCTCCTCAGCCTCACAAGAATGGATACGACAGAGTTTTGTCCTATCTCGAAGTTATATCTTCAGCTGTTCACAACATAAAATAGTTATAGTTATATGAGTTATATGTGTATATATATATATAGTTAAATTTATAAGTGATTGCGTGTACTTTTCAATGAAGTATCAAATTTTGGCGATGCTCCGTCATGAGGCCGCGCACCACTTCAACAGCCCTTTGCTCCGCGGCCTGACACTGAGAAGCGGCTCGATGGACAAATCACCAGGGGTTGATTGAGGCTTCCTTGAATTAATTTGAGAATATATATAGAAAAAAAACAATGAAATCGGTGCCCTTATTGATCAAAACGTTACTTTGGGTCGTTCTGGACGAGAACTCGTGCTCCGCCTTGTCTCGAACTCGAGGTGAAGGTCGTTTTGTTTGGTTTCAAGTTTAGCCATGTGTAACCTATTTTAACGAATGCGATCTTCAATCTTTGACCAGTTTGTGCATAGGTTCCGAAACTTTACATTGCAGAGAAGCCACATTTGGGCGCAAGCTCTGCCAGAAGCCCAAGTCTTTCTAGAGCGCCCAAAAACGAAGAAAGAACAACGGTGCGAGAGCGAGAGCTTGTTTTTGAATGTTCCAAGTGCAGCAAGGCCTAAAAGATCAGTGTTCATATATGATTCGAGCGGCATTGGTTTTGTATGATTCTTTAATAATCTTTCATGTGTGTGTGCGTTGCTTATTTGTCCTTTTTCCGAGGTCCAGCGCGGGAAAGGTCAGGCTTACCTTCATGCCACAGCAGGATGCCGAGGCAGGTGACATGTCTCAGCGTAGGCACTTCCCTCGTCTCTTAAACCAGTGACCAGCAGAAAGGTTGCAGACTGAATCTCAAATCAGGTGATAGAACTGGTATCACGGCCGGGATCCAAAGCCTATGCCAACTGTTCCAGATGGTTTGCTTATGAAACATGGAGTGTGCGGAGTAGCATTTGTGTGTATTGTTTCAACTACTATTTTATCAGTTAGCATCTCATATGTGTTCTAGTTCTTTGTGGTGTTTTGGTTTCAACCTTGTTTTCATTAAGCCTTTACACCTTTTGTTGTTCTTTATGTGCAACCTTTTCTCTGATATGCGTTCCTCGTTCCTTTGTGCTCAGCAGCAAAGGCTTGAGCGTCAAAATCTGGGCCTCAATCTGGCAGTGGCCGAGGCAAGTCCCATCGTGTGACGCGGGGATGTCTTATTGTTTACGAGGGGTAGGCCGTAGGGTGGGCTTCAGTAGTAGCTAGTAGTAAGGGGTAGCTTAAGGTTTTTCTTAGGATAGGGCTCAGGCTCAATGATTTGGTTCCCAAATGTTTTGGGAAACTCAACACGTTCTATCCTTCTTGCTTCCTTTCCTCTTTCCTTACCTATGACATCATAATGACATGATTGTGCTCGCTCAGGTGATCAGCGGGCTTGTGATGGAGGAGCGGTGACGAAAAAATTGTTTTTGCAGGAGTTTATCCCATTGGTTGCACGCACAAGTCGCCATGCTCAAGACCAAAGGAATTCCTGGCTAAAGAGGGTCTGCTTCTGGAGGGCTCTGAATGTTTTGCTATTCTTCTGCGCAGGTGTTCCATCCCAGTCCCATGCGCATTTTGCTCGCTGGGCTATTCACAAAGTCTGTCCTGGTGGAGTTAGTGCTTGACACCATTAATCCAGAGGCAAGAGGACTGTTTTTGTTGGCAAAGTTTAAATCAGAAAGGTCAACATGATGAGTCAACCTGCAACAAGTAAGGATGCCTCAAATGCAAAAATGATACTGCTGGCCGCTGGCCAATTGGTGGGATGCAGGCCACAGGTCATGTCTACTGGACTTTGCGGTCTTTCTCACGGCCAAGGTGCTGCATGGTGTTCAATTTAATGTGTTGTTTCTACTAGCAACGGCCTTCAACCGGTACCGGGTTGCATCGGTTGCATGCTTGTCCCAATTGTTCGGAATGCACTGCGCTGCCCATGGGTCAGGCCAAAAGGCGCCTTGGTGACTGCTGAGCAGGTCTGCCGTAGTTGTTTATCATTTCTCAAGTTGATAAAATGAGTTTCTCAAATTGTTTCGGAGTTTCTGATTTAGATTCTCACTGCAGCGCTAGGCAGCTCAGGGCCCACTGGCTGCAGCTATGGCAGCAGGGCAGGCGCAATGCCGCATGAGATACAGATACATCTAGTGCACCTAAACATTACACCTTCCAACGACCAACGGTTCAAAACACTCCAACTTTGGGACAGACGCCTCCCTGAGACCCTCTTGATGAGTCTGAGAGAAGGGAAATCACAATACTCCCGTGTTTGCACATTAGTAAATTAGGGTTGTGCAGGTGCCGAATCACAGTGGGGTGAGCAGTAGTCTGGGCCTCAGTTTGGCATGTAAAGATCTACGAATGACACGACACCACACTTGTCCAGCCGCTCTACTTGTGAATGTCCAGGTCCATGGCAACCGTCTTTTGAAGAAGTCTTGAAGTGGCTACATCCTTGGCAGAGCATAGAATGACCACTTGGAAACAGGAAGGGGAAGGGGAGACCTGACAGAGAGAGGGAGACACGCTAGCACTGAGCGAGACAATAAAAGAAAGCAATATGAGACCACCGGATTTTTAGCCCAAGTGCGCCATGGCTTTTCTAAGTGACACTGAACCCGTGGATTCTTTTGTCTTTGAGGTGGCAGTGGAGTGTCACGGAGTTTCTATGTAAGCAGAATTTGACCTGTCAGGCTTGACTGGAGTGCTCGAGGTCGCGATGAGATTCAGGAAGCGTGGATTGAAAAGGAAACAATACTGAATATGAAAATTCTGTCAAGATGCTTGAACATGATGCTTTGGTAGACTCACATTCTCACGCGTTTGTCCGCGGCTCGCTTGTCTAGGACTTTGAAGCCACTGCGGTGCATGGCCTGGATTGCCAAGCCAGTCCAATGTTTGCTCCACAAAGCGATTTGGATCGTCAAGCAACAATATACATAAGAAAGAAGCGTTTTGAAAAAATCAAACTTAGTAATAGTTCTGTTCTTCCTTGTAGATGTGAGAGGGATGGAAGCAGAAAGGATGAGGGAGAAAAGGACGATTTCGCAACTGTTCCTATCTTGGCCCCAAGGCCTCTTGGTGATCACGTCCAGTTTTTTGGAGAGCAACTTCTTCGACTCCCAAGGAACTGAGGTCACTAGGGAATACAACAAATGTAATCGTTGCTACCGACAAAATGGGATGCTTAAGCACAAATTTGCAATGTTGATTTATTAAAAGAAAACATTACTTCTGGATAAGTTGAGTCGAGGAGGCAAAAGGTTTTCACGCTCAATCTATATATATATATATTCTTGGCTATTCGTGCATTTTTGTGCTAGCCTTTGGAGAGCTAAACCACTCAATTAAGATTATGAAAAAACAGTTTCATTGAGGCTCAAGAAACATCAGGAATGAAACACGTTAAAGAAACGAACACTGTAAAAAGCATAATATGTTAGATATATTAAATCATAGTTGCCGCCAATTGACCACTGTTCCAGTGCCGGAGGTGTCTTTCCAGATGACCTTGCGGCCTGGCAAGGCTTGAAGCATCTCTGTGTGCTTTGATTTCGAAGAATTGACAAGCTGAAAAAGATAAGAATGTTTCTTTCTCTGCCTCTTTTGCACCTTAAAGCATTTCAGCTTGTTTCTTGCTTGCTTCCTTGCTTCCTTCCGTTTCAAACTTCTTTACTTGCTTCCGTTCTTTTATGACAAATATACAAACGGGAATTGTGCAGCGGCCATAGGTCATTCAGCATTACACAGTGAGCACGAACCCCGAGCATTCCTGATAGCGACCCCGACAAACCTGTAGACTCAATCTACTGATCAGCAAAAGTACAGGAGAACTTAGTCGCACCACTTTCACAGGGAATGCCCAGCTTTTGGAAAGTGGACACCATTTGCTGCCCGAGTGGCAAAATGAAGGATTGAGGATTTTCTTGGAAATTCCGAAGTAGGTTGGAAGAGTCACCTATACAAATAGTTCGAGGTAAACATGCTGATCATTTGGACATCACCAGTCCTTCCAGGAATGTGCTAAAACCTGTATGAAGCTTAAGGCCAACTCAGTAATCTCCACTTACAGTTGACTCCAAAAGCCTGGAAAGGAAAAATATAAAAAAAGAAACCTGCTGGGCCAAATTCAGTACTCTCAGCTATTTTCCTTCGCTGATCGTGTCCGCATGGGTCTTGTGTTTGTTCAGGGTAGGATCTAACTTTGTACACACCTGCAGTGTGTATGGTCCTCAATGCCAACAAGAGATCAAGGCTATCCGAATTGTTTGAGATGTCCCTCCTCGCCGAAAGAACCACATTCACCAGTGGTTTGGCTGTCGCTCCAAACGTGCAGAACTCTGCAAAGAAAATGAGCCATCTACGAAGGCATCCTCATGAGAGGTCCCCGGGCTTCCCATGTGATCATCCAAAGCTTATTGAGGTGATGGCCCCTGTCGTCAAATCATGCTGTTTGGAGCGAGATTGACATTTGTGCCCGAACCTTTGGATCGAAGGTTGTTTTTTTGAGTCGACTTGTCACAGCCTGCAATGTACACAAAATCAACAAAATCTAAGTCCTTGCAGCCTTTCCTTGCTCTCAAACGCTCTCAAACACTCAACTCATGACGGAAGTGACGGACAAGCTTCCCGGCAATTTGCCCAGCAAGCTTGGCCAAAGGTCCTGTCGGTGGGCATGGCAGACAGCTTCCCCAACAAGGTTTCATCATGCCCCACTTCTTGTTCCACTTCGTGTTTCATTTGATTCACATCGATTCACGTCCCAAAAACCACTGCGCGGGTTCCTTTAGGAAGCGAAGAAGCTTCAGGGACAGAACAAACACAATATGTAAATGTAAGCATCATTAAGAGCTACATTAAGCTACCCATATCAATATGCAAGCTTGCATTGGTAGCTACCCATATCAATTCATATCTCATGTGATATGTTTCAAAACGCAATTTTCAGAGTGCAGGCAGCAGCTGGCCAGTCCCGGTTCCTGATTTTTGCGCCCTTGAACTCAGCATGCTCAGAGCTTTGCTTAGACAACCCGACTTCCAAGACATGTTAGTTATTTCCCAACCGCCGAATTGAAACAGATCTGAAGCTTCGCAAGTCCATCGGCTCAATTCAAAGTCCATTGGCTTTGCCCCGCTTCACATTGGGAAACATGCGCAACTGATGGATGGCCGTGGATTCTGCTGTACCGTCCAAAGAAGACGTGAAGCCAGGCCTTGCTGGGCAAATGCTGGAGCTTGCTCGTGTTTGTTTGCATTGGAATACCTCAGCAGATGCAAGTGCTCTCCTTTGCAAATGGGGAGGAGAACATGAAGTGAAGGATTTGACACGTCTCAGGTTCCTTCGGGCTACAGCTCCGGGCCGGCGCCAAGCGTGACTCGGAAAAACTGAGGCACTGCCAATGCGTCAAGTTCGGGGTAAGACAGGTAAGAGAGGTACAGGAGGTAACATGTTTTGTTTACGCAATAGGTTATCAACGAGTGATGCGGAGAGCGGCTGATGTGATTTGACAGGAGAATCAGAGATTTGAGGCGTTGCACTGTTTTTGGTCTGGAGGAGGGCACAGGCATGTGCTGTGCAGGCTCCTAACCTTGAGGTCTTGGAATCAATAGATTTGCATATTGTTTTAACAGTCCACATCCTAGCTCATCCCCTCAACTGCAGGGGTGGGGTAGTGGCCCGCCTTTCCACCTAGATTTGCACCTGGGGATTGAACTCGGATCCGATGCATGAGGGATTCGTCATAGTGGCTAGACCATACCGGCCCTCGAATCAATAGACTAGCAGCACGGTTTGCGTGGATCACATGCACGAACATTCCGGGATCGTCATATCATTGTGCAACATGTGATCTTGGCTGGCTGAGGGTCTCAAACTATTGTGCATTGCATCCTAAAAAGTGCTGGAATGACAAGACCTTTCAAACTAAGGTGGAGTCTTGCATGGCAATTCCTCGGTCGGATTACCAGGCACTCACAGCCTTTGCGGTCCAGCTCCTTGGAAGAGGCTTGACGAGCAGCACCAGGCTGTTGTCCGCTTCCTTCGACTCACCAGCACCAGGTGGAGAAAATGCTCTTCCACGCAAAGAAGCGTTATGAGGAGCAGGCCAGAGCAGTATTTGTGTGCCATGTCGAAAGGGAAGTGCACCTGCACGTGTCCTACCCTAGCACTAGTTAGCAAAGATAGAAGGCATAGTATGGCATAGTGATTAGTTCAGTCATTTCCTCCTGAACTGTTTCTGGTGGCTCGACGGCACAGAGCGCAATTTTATCAGGAGCACCAAGAGCACTTGCACCAGGCATTGCTTGGATGCCTTTGGTGGCTTTGATGTCGGAAGCAAGCCTTGATACATCTTGATACATTGGTATCGTTCCAAAAAGTTGTGCTGGTAGAACTCTGCACGCAGGCACACTCAGTTGTTCATGTTTAAGGCCTCAACATGTTTTGCATGGTTTTTGCGCATGCTTTGTAAAGGACCCCAGACAATTTCTTTTGCTGAGGTATGTTAGAGGCATTTTTCTGCAGGATGCTGTCAAGTATGAGGCTGGGTGTGCTTTTTAGCACTTTGTATCGTTTGTATTTTGTGTTTTGGACTTTGGAGTCTTGGGACTAGATACATGATGAGTCATCATAGTTACATGATATACAATATATGTATATATATATCCATACATACATAATTACTAGTAATAAGGGTGAACAGAGCTTGGTGTTTCTCCTCTTTGCTCGCAGGAGGCTTGCAACAGCTTCAGCCAAGCATTGCCGCTGCTGCAAGCTTCTTTGGGGAAGCACTGTTTGGAGGCCCCGAATGGGGGACATTGAAAGGTGCTTGGTTGTTTTCAATGTTGAAGTCTGAAACCACGGAGGTGTCAGGCCGCTTTCTCATGGTGTGCCTTATGTATGCCCAGCGAATGGGAGAGGCGATTTGCCTTGGTGAGGACCACCTGATCAAGAAGAAAGGAACAGAATCAGTTTTAGATTTAAGATTTGACAAGATAGCACATTGGACACAAGAATGTATGAGACTCCTCCTCAGCTTTTCTGTTTTCTAGAGTGCTTTTTCTTTGCCTAAGGAGCTTCTGCGAAGGCAGCGCACGCCTGCCTTGCTGCGGCTGCTGGGAGAAATCCTTAACCAACAGGGGTTGCAGCTCCAGGACCGTGGAGGAAGCTCCAAAGTGCGTTGGAAGACCCGAGGATCTGAGAATCAAACTGCCTGGTTCTTGAGAGGATGTAAGCAGCGCAAGCAGGTATTTCTTCTCACGGGCCGCGGAGCTTTTTCAAGAGGCTGAAGCCTTCGGTCCAGGCTCGGAAACCTCCAGAGCGACTGATCGGGAAGCATTTGAATGTGGGGAATGGATGGGAATGGTCAAGGATTGAGTGGTACTTTATGCTTATATAGAAACGATGTACTTTACGGCTCGTTTGGAATGTCTCGAGCTGGGAAGCTTCTCCCAGAGGCTACGCTCATGCCTACACCAGTTGGGCCCTGTCTCATACTATGTTGGGCGACCTTGCAAAGGCTGAGGCAGTGGCAGAGCAGGCATTGGAAAGCTATCACTTCGGGCTTTGGTTCAACTTTATACAGTCTCTAAGCTTTTGTGATTCTCCAGCGTCCGTTTTCCATGAAAAAGCTTTTGGCGTCGAGGCAGTGCGGAGGTGTCCTGGATTTTGGGTACATCCTTTGCAGCGGCCCAGCCACTTTCTGCCCAACATCGCGTCCCATGCATGGCACGAGGACGGGAAATTCGCAGGAGGAGGGCTTTGGAACATTGTCAGTTTGGGAAACGAAGAAAGGAAGAACGAACGAAAGGCCAGAAGGGAAGGTCTAAAGTCTAAAGGTCTAAAGAAAGGGAAAGGGAAAGAAAAAGGAAGCTACTAGTGGCTTCTTGTTACTAGTAGTAAGGCCAGGAGCTACTAGTAGCGTCCTTGCTCCTAGTAGCGATGCCAGGAGCCCTAGTAGCGTCCTTGTTCCTAGTAGAAAGGTCTAAAGAACAAGAGAAAAAGGCACCTATAGATGTTCATCAAATGCCCGAGCTGAGGTCAAGAACTTTCCCTGGATGGCCAAACTCCAGGATCATTGGCTTCAGAGCTGAAATGTGAACCAACAGTGTCGGAGGTATGGCAACGAATGGAAACTAATATGAAACTATATACGTGATATATGAAACGACACCCATCACTTTTTGGCACATTTGTTCCATGGAAGTAGTTGTTGGCATGTTGGACCCATTCATGCGACATCACGTTGGAAGATGGGTTGGTTGACACATTCTGGCGCATTTTTGGCCAAGGCTTGAGATTAAAGATGAACTTCTCAAGTTGCAAGGGGAAGCTTGGCCAGAAGTTCGTGGCCATGATAGAAGTCTTTCGAAGGGGAGACTTCTCCGCACTTGGGCAGGATGGTTGTAGGGCCGACATTGGCTGTGTGCAACAGAGTCAGTCTTGCAACCTTGTTCGACCTGTGTGTTGAAATACCGTTGGAACACTTGTGTTGAAACATGTTGAAACATGTTGAAACACAATGTCCCAGCGTTTCCTTTGGTGAGGACGGGTGTTTGGAGAGAGTTCCCACTGCTCGGCCTCGATGTTGATAGCAAGAGCTCTTGCCCTCACACATGGCATTTGCTTACACAGGACAGCACGAGCTTTCTACGACTTCTTCACAAATGCCTTGAGTCTTCAAGCGTCATTATTTCTTCAAGAGTCTGCTTCAGATGTGAATTGAGCGGTTCAACTCCCGTGGTTTGAGGGCTTGTTCTCAGATTGCTGGCAGGTTGAACCTGTTTGGAGTCATTGGCAGCTTTGCCCTAACGAAGAGACTGCTTTGTTTTCACGCGCCTTTGTCAGCAGGGCTTTAGGATGTGAAAAAAGAAACAAGATGAAACAAGTGTCTTTCTACAATCAAGTGAAGGACTTTGGAATTCCTTTGCGCAGGTTTGACCCCCGGAATGCATCTCAAGCCGCATTGCGGACCGACAAACTTACATCTCACCTGCCACTTGGGACTACAGGCAAGGGGTACCAGCTTGACAATGCTTGGGTGGCAATGCTCCATGTTGCAACATGATGCAACATGTCGACATTTGTGGAGAATGCGACGTACGACAGGTCCCTCCTGGTTGCAGCATACGCGTTGGCAAGGAATGGCGTACATGGCACGAGGGGCAGTGCTTGGTCTTCGATGACTCCTACGAGCATGAGGCAGACTGCAAATAGCACAGCACCTTTTTGTTCGGTGCGCTTTGTTGTCTCGCAAACGTGGTTTCTTCAATTTCAGAGTTTTTCAAACGGTGATGGTGTGAGGTGCGACACGATGGCGATTCCACTCGCATTGTTTTTGCCTGAGTTTTGCACCTACTGTTTGCTAGATCTTGCGAACACTTCAGACCATGTATTTCGGACTGTGCCGTATTCATTCTCAAGCTCTTGGCTCAATCTTTCACAAAAAAATACTTATCTCATACTCTCCTTTTGGACCTTTCTGAGTGCTTTTTTCTTGAGGTGCTTTTGGTACGCTTCTGGCATCCCGATGTGGATCCCAAACAGCGGCAGGCCCTGCTGGCAGCAAAACTAAAGCAGCGCAAGCTGAAGGACCGGACTCTGAGTCCGAGCTAAGAGCTGCGCAAGCTGTTCTCTAAATGTCCGTGTTCTGCAGTTCTGTTCTGCACTGTCGTTCTGTCGTGGCTTTCACCTTGCAGGAGTGGACGTTGTGCTCAAGCAACAGCTACTGCAGCAGCACTGGAACAGAATGCTTCAGGGGTAGACCCGGATGATCCAGATTTGGGAGACGATAGGTGCTTGGAATGCCAATCCGACCGTTTTGGCACAGTTGGACTGATTTGTGTCGGAAAGTTTGGAGTTTTCACAACGGACGCAATCTATTCACTGTTGCAAGCCCAGTGGGGCTCCTCTCAGGCTAGCCATTGCTGCACTTTCTGGAGGGTCAAGAAACAGCCAAGACTGCGAGAGACAAGAGATGCCTGCCTTCGAGCTTTCGGGAATAAAAGATGCTGAAAGCGCTGATGCTGTGGCTTCAGGAAGTATCGGGAAACAACCTGGGTGAAGAAGACTCTTGCAGGGCCCATAAGCATCATTCTGCACCTGAATTTGCCAAAACCAACACCTGAACAATCTATATATAGAAACACCCCATGTGAGTACGCTCACAACACACACAAGCACAGAAGCTACGCGGCAAACAATGCATCGATTGATGTGAATCGGGAATACTTCCGTGCAGGTACTTGTAGTACTGTCCACTCGGTCGCAATACCGAGTCTTTCAATGCGAAAACCAAGTGTTTCGACCCTGTCTCTTCAAGGCCTGAAAACTGGACCTTCGTGCCAGACAGTTTTCAAGGCTTCCCGGTCCAGGAGGGGTACACAGCGTAAACCAAGTCGTTCGATACGTCTTGGACGTTAGGGCATGGGCCTTCGCGGCCTTCAATACCTCAAAACAAAGAGAAAGATAGTTTCACAATGTTTCACTGAACAATAGTGAGTAATGCACAGACCGTCAGAGACCGCTTTGATTTTGTTTGGAATTCGAGGACCTGGGTATTCTGGACTGCTGGCAACGTGTTCCTGCCCTGGATTCGCCTTGGCGGTGGGTTCCAGTGTATCATGGCTCTGGCAAAGTGTGCTTTTCGATTGCATCACTTTGGCTATATGGCCAAGTGTTCTTCAAATTTTAATTGCCAAATTCTAGTTCTTCAAAAGCAATTTGGAGTCTTGACAGTTGAACATCTCGTTCACATGCCTCTATCTTCACGGCTAATGGGAAGATGCCACGACTCTTTCAGATCAGTGGGAATCTGTGATTTCGGATTTGCTTGTTTTCTTTCTCACAAGAATGGTGGCCATGGAACTTGTTGAGACTTTAGAAGTCCAAGCAGACTGAGTGAGCACAAAAAGAACTGCGCCAAGGTATGCCTTGAGGTTGCTTGAAGATTTGTCCAGCATGATCCCGTGCCGTGCGACCCCGAGTCTTGAAGATGCTTGCTTTGGAGCTGTGGGCTCGAAGCTGAGGTTTCAATGACGCCAAAGACTGTGAGAACGTGGTGTCCTTCCGTTTCAGAGCCGACACTCCGGTTGGTTTACCCAGCACTGGCATTTGGACATCAGTTGACTCAGTTGACTCATGAGAATACTTTCGTGTTTGAAACTATATGTACGCCGTTTGATTGCTTGGCAGGTAACTCCAGACAAGTCAATGTGGCAAGAGAGTTCGCAGGCAATGAACACACGTTGCAAACATAGATTCAAGATCGCCGAACTGTGCCGCTCACCTCTCCCCTCACAGGCTTGGCTCCTGCATGTGGATGCCTTTGCAGGAGATGTAACAGAACGCTCTTCATGAACAGCAGCGTGATCAACAGTTTATGACGTTTGAAGCACACTGTTTACTCTGCATTGTGTATGAGTGAAGTTTTTCGAATGATCCGCAGGCGCCTTGGGTCGAGTAAAAGCGAGTTTGGCACCGGAGCCTGTGTGAGGCATCCCGCCATAGGCGACGCTCCTTCGTCGCTGTCGCGTTGGCTGCTGGCCGTTGAGTCGGCCAGGTCCCTGATCTAGGACCTTTGGAGCTGATCTTCGAGAGAAGACTGCAGGAGGCTAGACCTCCCACTGGGCCTCTTGGGCCTTGGACCCTTTTTCCAGGACTACCTGGAGGAGCTCTTCACCCGTGGCTTCCTGGACCACGACCTCGAGCTCTTCCGCACGAGCCCGCTACTGCGCAGCTTCGCTGATCGCTTGCGCTTCATCATCGAGATCTCCGACCTTGGCGACTATTTGATCACCAAGATCGCGAGCTACCTCATCACGATGATGAATCCTCCATCGACTACCGGCGGATCCATTCCTCTTCAGGAATATCGACGAGATGTTCCACCAGGCTGGCAACCAGGAGACCCCTCCTATCCACTGAGGAGCTACTTCGAGAAGATGCGGCTTTGGTACCGCGTGAGCAACGTGGAAGATGAGAGCGTGGGGCCACTCCTGGCCGGTCGGCTCTATGGCCGAGCTGCAAAGGTCGCCATGACCTTGAAGATCCCACGGCCGGACGGCCGATTTGACACTGGGGATGCGGCCTTGGCACGACTCTCGGTCGACGAGGTGCTGGATCCTACAACTGGAGCGGTGATTCAGCAAGCGATTCCATCGGGGGTACAGTTTTTGGTGGATGCTCTGCGACGAGCTTTTGGACAACAAGATCAAGATCTTGCAACAGAAGCGCTGGAGAAGTTTTTCAGTTTACAGCGCGGCAAGTTGTCCCTGGCTGAGTATGCCGTGGAGTTTGACACCAGACTGGATGAAGCCTCCGATCGAGCAGGACTGCAGTTGAACGATGTCGGAAAGTTCTTCTTGTGGTTCAAGCATAGCGGCATGTCCACCAAGGTGATCGACGACATCAAGCTACAAGTTGGTGGAGACTATAACAGGTTCCAGGATGCAAGAACATTGGCTCTCCGGATGAGTCCAAACAGATCCGACAGAGATGATACAACCATCTTCTACGAGGACAACCTTGAAGAGAGCTACAATGACAACTACGGCTATGATGACTCCTGGAATCAAGATCAGTGGCATGGCTATGAAGCAACAGAAGAAGGTGAATGGGTCTATGAGACTGACGACACCTACTATCAAGACTGGTCAGAAGAGGCAGATGAGTGGCAGAATTTCTATGAGGATGAGACACCATGGAACTATGAGGAGCCATGGACATCTTCCTATGAGGCAGAGACACAACCGACCACTTCAGGAGCAGCAAAGACAGAAGAGACCTTCGCCGATCAGGAGACCTACTACAAGGGCAAAGGAAAGAGCAAGGACGGTTGCTTCAACTGCGGAAGCAAATGGCATCAAGTTCGCGATTGCCCCATGAAGTCAGAGAAAGGCAAAGGTCATGCCTATCAGAGCAAGGGCAAGTTCGGCGGCAAAGGCAAGGGCTTCCGTGGACGCTGGACGTGGCGACCATCTTCATGGAAAGGAAAAGGCAAAGGCAAGTTCGGCTATCGCGGTGGCTTCAAAGGTGGTTTCAAAGGCAAGAGCAAGAAAGGACACTGGTTCATGACTGAGACATCTGGTCCGACAAGTGAGCGCACTCTCAATGTCCAGGACGGCAACATCCAAGTTCTGGGCACCACAGATCGGATCGATCGGAGCCACACGCCAGAAGCCTTCATCATCCACTCCTCCTCAGAAGATGACATCATGAAGGTTCGACGAGCCTATGCTGCCACATCAGCGAATGAGGCGACCTCCAGTGAAGAGCCTGCAACAGCACAGAAACAGACCAAGAACTTCGACACGGCAACATGGAACTTCATGTTTCTGGCTGGTGAAGCATGCTCGTACTTCCAGGTTCGCGGACAAGAACGAAAAGGTCTTCTGATTGATCCTGGCGCCGCAAGCGGCCTTATTGGCAGTGAGACATTGCGCATGTTGCTGAAGGAGTGTGCAGTGGACACCCCACAATTTGAGTTCGACAAGACGACACCTGTTTCTGGCATCAGCGGAACTTCATCATCAACGCTTGGACAGGTGACTGTACCTCTTCGAGTTGGCAGCGTGCCTATCACATACACTGCTGAGGTTCTTGGCGGCGATGGATCTTTGTGTCCCGCACTGGTCGGAAATCCCACACTTCGGAAGCTCAATGCCACCATCTTTGCCAATTGGTTTGACAATGGTGATGGCTTGATGACCATGGATGGGCGACAAGATGAAGGTACCGTGGCCATCAAATTCTTCCGACTTCTGCTCACCGAAAGTGGACACTACATCCTGCCGACAGACAACAAGGAAAGCCAGAAGGTTCACTACATGGACAAGAACAAGGCCATCCTCTTCAGTCAGAAGGTTGCACTGGCGTCGGAGGAACAATGGAATGACCTCCATCCTCGAGTTCGCCATTGTTTCCTTGGCAGGACACTTCCACAGGCACGGGCAGAAGGTGACCGGTGTGAAAACATGGCATTGCATTCCAATGTCATTCCCGATGACAAGATGATGATCGCACATCATGCAGCACAAGAATTACCAGGTCAACGACCATCGAATGACAATGAGCAGAAGCAGACAAACCTTCCTGATGCAGTACAACATCCACATGATGCAGTACAACATACGGCGCAAGCCTTGCGAGAAGAGAGCGACCAGATCAACGAGAGCCATGACCACACTGCTGATGGGCACCCCATTTTGGATAGTCAGACCCAGACAGCAGAGAAGAAGCAGTTTCACAGTTGCACGACAATTCATGAAGAAGCAGAAGATGATGATGGAAATCCCAAGCCTGCGAATTTCACTCCATCGGCCATTTTGGCCAGTGAACAAGAATCAAGTGATCGCTATGACCATGATGTTCTTCCAGCAGAACACGATCATCTTGATGTCTCCAAGTTGAACAAAAGATACAAGGCCATTCCTGAGGAGTACTACACCAGATCCGGACTCACACCTGTGACTCCAGGAAACTTCAAGAGCTGGTTCTCCAAGACACGTGGACGTGGTCTTCGGTGGCACGCATGGGAGCTCTGTTCAGGCTCGGGAAGACTCAGCCTGTGTTTGCTCATGGCAGGTCTTGTTGTGGGCTTCCCGGTTGACTATCGCTACGGCTGGGACATCAACAATGCCCAACATCAGAGCTACCTCAACCAGGCCTACCACGAGTTCAAGCCAGGTGTGGTGCATGCAGCGCCTGACTGTGCACCATGGAGCGTGTCCGCCAACACCAAGGATCCACGACTCCGGCATCAAGACCGACTTCGTGATCGTCCAGGACTTCAATGGCTGCAAGAAATCTTTGAGAAGCAAGATCGACAAGCCAGAGGCTACAATCTCGAACAACCTCACAACAGCGCCATGTGGCAAGAACATCTACCAGAGAATCCGGTGCGGCTGTCCCGCATCAAAGGCAACCGCAGCAAGCAAAGAGTTGATCAATGCATGCATGGAGCTTGTGATGAATGTCAGAATCCCATCAAAAAGTCAACAAGCTTTGGCAGCAACATGAGATGGAATAGATGTGCTCTCAGGTGTTCAGGCCACAGAGGACGAGCTCACTCTCATCTACAAGGCACTGGACCTAATGGACTCTCACGGACATCAATGGCAGCAGTCTACCCACAGACACTATGCCAACGCATGAAGAACGACATCATTGGCTACCTCAACAACAAGGATCTGATTGACATTGGCAAGTGGCCAGATGACTGCTACCACTCTGTCATCACCCACATGTATGAGTGTGTCAGATGTCAACTTGGCAGAGCATGTCCAAAGTCCATTGAGCGCTCGCTGATTCCTGGGCAATGCAGACATGGCAAATGGCCTCCAGGAGAAAGTCCAAAAGAAAAGGCGAAAGCCGATGCAGATCCTCTGACACGATGGAAGAATGAAACACGCAAAGAAGTGCTTGATACAGTGGATATCAAGAACATGTCCTCCTACGGTGGTTTCCACATTGAAGACATGCATTTCCTCAAGAAGCTTCTCATGGAGACAGTGCACGCAGCGCTGGGCCTCTTCGATGAAGCTCTTCAACAGAAGAAAGAATACATGCACTGGATCGACGACCCGGTGCACATGAGCCTCTACAAGGAGATCTTTGGCGGCGTGCTGGTGGTGAAAGGAGTTAAGGTGTCACTTCGTCCTTTTACAGATGGAACAGCAGAACCCAAGTTGCCGATGGTGTCATCCTACCTTCGACTTCATGTCTATGGCCATGTCAAGGAGTGGAAGATCATGCCAGTACACGATCTCAGAGAGATGAGCCACTCACAGATTCACCAGGCCATCGACATTGATGATTGGCTGATCACCATCTATGGTGTTGAGACAGCAGCTGTTCCAGCACCATCAACTCCGGCTTCAAGACCAAGAACACGACCAGAAGAACCACCAATGCCTCCGAAGCCTGAATCTTTATCGCTTCCAAGACTCATGGACAGACCAGCAGATGAAAAGGCAGAAGACGCCATCGTGGAGACCATTTATGAAGATGCTGAGCTTGCAACGCAGTCACATCAAGAGATTGCTCCGATCAAGCCCAACTACAATCTGCGCAAAGTCCTTGAGAGACTTCCGAAAGCAGTCAAAGAAGGAGACATTGCAAGAGCAAAGCAACTACTTCTTGGACTACATGAACGTTTGTGGCGCTCTCCGATGTCTGACTTCATCAACCTCTTGAGGAGATCAGGAATGCCAACAGAAGTGACACAGCTTGTTCCAGAAGTGGTGAACTCCTGTGCAATCTGCCGGAAGTATGTCAGGCTTCCCAACAGACCTCAATACAAGACGACTGGAGTTCGATCTTTTGGCGACGCTGTGCAGATTGATCTTTTCCATTTTGAAGACAAGTGGTTCATCCTCATGATTGATGAAGCGACCCGCTACAAGGTTGCAGACATTGTTGAAGGCCAAGAATCAGAGATTCTTCTTGCAGCAATGGTCCGTCTTTGGTTCCACTATTTTGGACCTCCTCAGAAGCTCATCATGGATCAACAACAGAGTCTCATGGGCCATAGCACTGCAGCAGAATTTGAGCGGATGAATGTTGAGCGGTGTCCAAGAGGAACGACAGCTGGACCAGGAGCAGAACAACACACTGGCACTGGTTTGGTTGAACGACATGTCTCCCTCGTCAAGATGACCATGCTGAAGCTGAGAGCTGAGTTACAAAGACAAGGTCTCAATCCAGAGCTCAGTGAACTCGCCAGAGAAAGTGCAATGGCACACAATTTGACGCTGTCATATGGAGGAGTCACGCCAGCAATGAATGTCTTTGGTGTTCCACCAAGACCCTTCTACGAGGTGGAATCTACAGGTTTGATGGCAGCATCGGGAGCTTTGGAAACCGACCTCACCGTCTTTGAAAGAGCCATGAGGATCCGACAAACGGCATTGGCACAATCACACCAAGCAGTCATAGAGGACCGCATCGCAAGAGCTAACAAGACACGACCACATCAGCTTGACCTGACTCAATTTGTACCAGGCACAAGCGAGATCGAGTTCTACAGAGAGGTCAAAGGAGATGTTGGTTGGCGAGGTCCCGCTTTGCTCCTACGGTTGGATGCAGACGAAGGCGTGGCAGTGATTCAATACCAGGGCAAGCCATACCTAGTCTCTCTCAGACACATCCGTGCATTCAGAGGACTTTACCTGGTTGACATCACCGACGAAGCCAAGACAGAATCCTTGAGGAAGATCATGAAGTACACGGAATCCATCTCCAGCTACAAGCCGATCCTGCATGGATGGGTCACTGACAAGATGAACAGATGGATCAGACTTCCTAAGGACAATGACACGGCCATCAAGGTGATGCAATGGGCAGCAGATGCTTACAGCATGTTGGACAAGTCAGAATGTCACGGTTGCATCCTTGGCAAAGCACTCAGACATCTTCAACCACCAAAAGGCACAGTTGGACATCTCATCACATGGATTCATGGCGGAGTCAACTACGCCATACAAGAACACAACAGTGACAACAACATGATCATGAAGAAGATCACCAACTACGCCAGAGAAGACATCTGCATTATGTACCTCTTCCGATATGTGACCAAGATTTCAGAAGACATGGAACGCTCATCACAAAAGATGCCAACAACGTCATTGGAACCTATGCAGGTGACACCACCACATCATGAAGAACAAGAACCAGAAGACATGGACGTTGAGCGTCATGGTGAGAAGCGTGAAGGTCCAGACAGCAGAACAGTCACTATAGCTCCGGAACGCAAGAAGCAGAAGACCATGCTGGTGAAGAAAGATCTCGAGTTCCTCAGACACTATTTCATCGCCACGAATAAGGACAGATTGGTGCAATTGGGTTTCCCTGAGAACTGGAAGAATGACTACAACCTCATGATGACCACGACACGGAAGTTCCTCATCAAGCAGTACGATGAACGAAGGAAGATGCTTCCAGAACTCTTCCACATTGAATACAAGCAGAACCATTTTGCATATGCCAATCTCCTCACGGGCGAGATCTACAAGGTTGATCAAGAGACCAACAACATTGAGGACGAAGACATCACTCCAGCAATTTGGAAGGAGCTCGATGAAGCGGACAGAAATGAAGTCAAGCAGTTTGTCGATGAGAAGGCATTCAAGAAGATCCACAAGAGTCAGGTGACCAATGACATGGTGGAAATCGACTGCAGATGGGTACGGAAATACAAGCGATACCCAGACAAGACCTTGCGCATCAAGAGTCGTCTTTGTGCTCGTGGCTGTCTAGACTCACAGAAGACACAGTTGACCACACGGAGTACAACAGCGACAAGACTCAGTCAGCGCATCCTTGTTTCTCACGCAGCACGATGTAAGAAGAGAACCTTGGAATCTCTGGACATTGCAGGAGCATTTCTGAAAGGCTTCAACTTCGACGAGATCAGAAGAACATTGATGAAGCGTGGCATGAATGCACCAGAGAGAACAGTCATTGTCTATCCACCGGCAAATGTCTGGCGGCATCTCAAGGAGCTGGACTCAAGCTTCACAGTTCCCTATGACGACTACACTCAGTACGGATTGCTTTGTTGCAAACCTATTTATGGACTCAATGATGCTCCATTGGCTTGGCAGTTCTGTCTACACGACTTCATCATGGCACAGGGTGCAACATCATCACATCTAGATGAGAACTGTTGGACATGGAAGGAGAACAATGAGCCCATTGCCATGCTGACGACACACGTGGATGATTTGGCAATCTCAGCAACACCAGAGTTCATGAACGACATCTACAACAAGTTCGTGACCAAGTTCAAGAAAGTCACCAGGCAGCAGCTACCTTTTGATCACTGTGGCTGTGAGTACAGCAGAACAGGTGATGGCTATTTCATTGGCCAGAAAGAGTTTGCGAAACGCATGAAACCAGCAGCTGTTCCAGATCGAGCAGATGATTCTCCTCTGAATCCTCCAGAAGTTTCTGACCTCAGGTCAATCCTTGGAGCTCTACTTTGGATTACAGCAACACGGCTGGATGTGATTGCAGACGTTTCCTTGTTGCAATCAAGGGTGACAAAAGCAGAAGTGCAAGACATCAAGAATGCCAACGAAGTGCTGAGGAAAGTGGTTGAACATGCAGACATGGGTTTGCACTACAGATTCTTCAAGCACAAGGCCAAGAGACTGGCAGTGATTCATGACGCCTCTGCAGCGAGCAAGGGCAGATCATATGCACAAGAAGGTGTGATCATTTGCTTGACAGATGATGCCTGGCAAGACACGAAGATCAGCTATGAGCACACCTGCACTACAGAAGAAGATGATGACAAGCATGGCGGTGTCATGCATGTGCTCTACTCTCACGGAGCCAAGTCGAAACGCATTTCGTACAGTACATCGCACGGCGAAACGCTGGCCATGGTGAATGCACTAGAGGCTGCGACGCTTTGCATGATCCGACTTAGCGAGATCACGCACTCCGAGAAGAAACCGAGCTTGCAGCAGCTGATAGCAATTCAGTCACAAGGCAATGCATGTTTGCCCATGGACATGTACTGTGATGCAAGAGATGTTTTCGAACTCGTGACCGGCACGAAGACACTCCCACAAGACAAAACCCAAAGACTGTATGTTTTGGCAGTGAAGGAAGCTAGGTTGGACGGAAGAATCAGAATGGTGGCACTCATTCCCACACAATGCATGCTGGCCGATTCGTTAACGAAGAGTCTTGAACATGACAGCATGTACCCTTTTGCTTTCCACAGGGTTAGTCAAAATGTATGGGGTGAAAGACCATCCAATCATTTCCAGAGTCCTTCCAACGGCAAGAGACTTCAGCGAGAACGACCTCCAGAAAGACGACAAGGAGATCTATGAGAAGTTTGGGGAGAAAGCTAAAGTCTCTTTCGCCACCTTCCTCCTCGGGTTGATCACAAAGAACAAGCTCATGATGTTCATGCTCGCAATGTCTAGCGCGGCTCAAGCTCACGAATTTGATCGCGCTCCAGCAGAAGAGGACAGCGAGATGTGGAGCATCTACATGCTGATCCTTTACACCATTGTGGTGGCCATGGCAGTGCAGTTGGTGATGCACTACATCCTGAAGAAGAAGGAGTCAAAGCCAAAGATGATGGTGAAAGAAGAACCATCGAGTGACGATGCCATGGAGGTGGACTTCGAAGCAAGCAGCAAGAATCGCAAGAGAGCAAGGGAGTTGATAAAAGAGCAAGACATCGAGAAGCTGAAGGACAAGATTGCAAGCTATGAGGACTTGACCGAAAAGCTGCAGCGAAGCAAAGAACAGAACAAGACTTCAGCTGATGATTGGTATCGACGATACCAAGACGCCAAAGACGATCTTGACGCGGCCAAGACGGAGAGAGATGATGCTCGAGAAGACCGAGACAAACATCGGTCGATGCTCTACGAGGAGTACAACAAGCAGGTGGACCTGCGCAACAAGATCGAGACTTTAGAGAACCAATTGCAGACAGAGAAGGACAGACTTGATGGCATGAAGAAGGCCTACGATTTGGCTGAGAAGCGCAACAAGGATCTCGAGAAGAGATTGGTGGAGGCCGAGCGAGAAGCCAAGATGACGAGATCACTGGCACCAATTCCAAGTCCATCGACACCACAGTCAGCGGTGATCCAAATGGAGAAGGAGAAGTTTCCTGAGAGGGTGTACATCACCGGCAATGGTACAAAGTACCATAGCGAAGGCTGTCATCATTTGAGCAGCCTAGCAAAGGCGTACACCAAGTGCATGCATTGCACAAGGTGAAAGCCACAGGCACCTAACAAAAGGTGACCGGAGTGAAGTTTTTCGAATGATCCGCAGGCGCCTTGGGTCGAGTAAAAGCGAGTGTATGTATGTTCATGTTTTGGGGCAGGAAGCGCTATTTGTGCAATGTTCTCCTGTCGTGAGTTCAAGGATCAGCTTGTGGGCCAGTTGATGACCAATTGGATGATGAGCTTTTGAGGTGATGATCCTTAATTACAACCGTCGATCGCCAATCATTGATTGAATCAAGATTGGTTCAATCCTGTTTAGTACATCGTGTGTTCCACAAAGTCCATTGAGCAGCCAGGAAGATTTCTGTCCCTAGGCTTCCACTGCAATTGCTTCCATGTTCAGACTCAGAGGTCTTGGGAGTCTCTTAAAAACTCACAAGGACGTTGGTCCTCCTGCCCAATGTTGGTACATGCCTTCTCAAGAGATCACTTGCACTGATTTACTTGAGGTTCACAAACGACGCGCATTTCTTTGGCTTCCCACTGAAGGAATCGATCGGTGTTCGCGTGGCCTGAAACCCTAGCTCAAACCATTGCCAACGAATGCATATTTGGAACACTGAAACATATGAAAAGTCTACACCATGAGCCAAAACACTGAAAAAGGAAACACAAATTGTGAAGAGTCACTGGAGTCGCAAACACTTGAAACTGCAGTTGTTAGATGGTTCGATTTGTTTGGCTGTTTCAACAGATTCTGCTTTGCAGTCACTCCTTTGTTCTGAGGTGCCCAGCATTGGACCTAATGTGCCGCGCAAGGCAGGGTTCATTGTGCGTGCACAGTGAGTAGTTGACATCAAGTTCAAAGGAAGAGTCAGTCATAATGTATATTTACTGTTGATGCCTTTTGTATACTTTTGTCATCTACACTCAACGACATTCATTATTGATACCAATTCTAAGTTTCCCTAAAAATCTAGGAACCAAATCATTAGGGTGAGCGCTTCTTCAAGCAGCTCCCCCCAAAGGCGGCTGCGGGAGCTTCCTTTTTTTTGCTCTCAAGCCGCGACTCCGAGTCGGTGGCAACCCCAGCGCATTCCGCAGCTAGGGTCACTCGTAGCCAAGACTACAAAAGATTGTCAAAGGGGATGCACCAAGACCAAGGTGTTGCTTTGGCACCCTTGGCAAACGCACGTGCAAGCATATCCAATGCAGCATTCTCGACATAAGCTTCAGCCCCGAGGAAAGCACCCTTCGGAAAGGTCTTGCCATTACTCTTGTTGCGCTTGTCAAGCAAAAGAGGCGCAACAACGATATTCTTCTGCTTACAAAAGGCAAAGCCCGAACGAATCAAGCTAGCGAAAGCTTGTGGCGTGCAGATGGTTCCATGGGGCAGTTCAAACCTCCAACCACGTACAAATGCCACAACGGCCAACTCGAAGACTGAGCAAGCAAATCCATCCCCGACGCGCCACTGCAAAGAGGCGCAGAGGCGTAAAAATGTGCGAAAGTTATTCTCAGTCAAGGTAGATGTGGCCCGAAAGGGTACATGAAGGTCAATTTGGACCTGCCAAGTAAACAACGCCGGCGAGATGTCCCATGGCCACTTGGGACACATCTGTCTAGCAGAGTGCTGGATGACAGGCTCAGGGGAAACTTGGCCTTTCGGCGTGCCAGAAGTGGCAGGCTTTTTGCACATCCTATTTAGCTGGCTCAACCATAGCTGTCTGGCAAAAACATCATGCTCCTTGAGATGCAGCTCACTACGAATCTCGAAAGCAAGTTGGGCAATATGCTGCTTAGCACAGGTGTCCGCCAACCTATTAAGAATGATATCCTGACGAGTAGACCCAGCTTTGTTAGCCAATTCTTCCGTGAGTGCTTGGCTGGGAACGTGTTCCAACAAGTGTGCAGGGCACCAAAGCAATTGCAATGGAGAAGGATGGAGCTCTTTGCGGTGAAGCAGCTGGTCCAAAATGAAACTCCACCTATTGGCGTGGGTCCATTCCACTTGAACCGTTTCTGTTTGAAGCAACACAAGGAACTGCTTGACGATGGTAAGGGAATCCGTGTGGATTACCAAAGGCTTTTCTGCCCCCGCAAAGGCGACCAGAATGGCCCAAAGCTCAGCTGAATAGCTGGAAAGGCGCCAGTGGCGAACTCGACCAACTGAAATAATAGACTCATCGGCCGCAATGACGGCAAAGGATGCAATGGCCAGCCAAGGATATGCTGTCAATTGCACGGAACCATCCGTCCACACGTGTTGAACCTGTTCTTGCACTGCCAACCATTGACAAACAGGAACCTCCGAAATGCAGGACACTTGCAGTTTATCACGAATAGTGTCCAAAGGAAGCTCAACAATGCCCAGAGTGCAGAAGTTAGGGCCAAAGAAGAAATTGGTCGAAGGCCGCCGGAGCGGCTCTGGCAAGGAGTCACACTCGTAAGCAAAATGGCTAACGGATTCCTTGTGGGCAGTACAGAAGCGGCACTTGTCTTGGTCAACAAGCCCTGCTGCAGCAAGCCTGTCGGCTGTTAGAGTGCAACCCGTCACCGCACTTTCCCAAAAGAAAAGGAAAGAAAAGCCATCATGAGGAATGGCTGCTAACCTCTTCTTTGCCGAAAGCGTCATCGTGGTGTCAAGGAAGCCAACAGCAGTACTGATGTCTTTCCGTGGCATGAGGCAGGCAGTTTGGTAGCACTTATTGGCAGCCAAGCTCTTCAACAAACATTTCAGATCAGGGACCGAAAAGTCCAGAAAGCGGACCGGTGCCGACCCAAAAACCGAAAATTCAAAGGTGTGGACCCACTCAATATCTAGAATCTGGCAGGCTTGACTGAATTGTGTCATCCATGCTTGTGCAGTGAGTTGATCCTGCTCGAAAAGCTGCGCCCACTGCTGCCTCGCATACACAGAATATTGTAAAAAGCGAACCGATTCAGCAATTGTTGTGACCGCACGACAGAGGAATGGATCCAACTTGTGGGCCTTATACACAATGCAAAGAAGGAGATGCTTCGACCGCCATTTGGGTCTGTCTTGCCACAAGGCATCAGCTACAGCACTTTGAAGACGAGCCAAGGCACGCTTGGGAATAAAGTTCAGATGCGGCGCAAACGAGATCTGTGGCAGCACTTTGGTGGCCAAAATCTGAGCTCGCTTATACCCATCACAAGACAAGGCGCGAATAGCCTCACAATCTCGGAGTGCAGCATGTATTTTACCAGCCGGAAAGGAACCCACATTCTTCTTGGTTGTTTGCACAAAGGCTCCCAAGATATTCACCACCTCAACAAGCCGCATTTCCGGGAACGCAGTTTTTAGAGCACGCCGGAGGTCAGGGGTGGTAGCAAAGACCTCACATTTGCTTGCGTTCAGGAACTGGCCACATAGAGAATCCCACAATTCTGTAGCTTTGACAGCAGAGACCAGACCCTCTATCGTAGGTTGCCGAGACCACAAGTATGTGTCGTCGATGAAAGCACGGAAATCAACTCCCTCAATATGCTCCATCAGCCAGGCCCAAATGGCCATATGGAGGTTGATACAAAGAAGACTGAGCGAACATCCTTGCACAACGCCGTTTGGCGTGGAAATCGGAGCAGCTCTGGTCCATTGTTTGAAGGAAAGGAACCGCGTCATCCTCAAATAAAGGCATAGGAAGGCACGAACGAAACCAGTTGGAAGCCCCAATGCCAACATGATTGCAGCACAAAGCTTGGGCATCAAACGATCAAAGCATTTCGACTTGTCGAGCTTCAAGGCAGCAAAGTGGCCTTGAAAGCTGTGCGCGTGATCAATCTCAAGCTGGAGCGTCATGTGGACCTCCGATATCTGGCGCATCTTGATACCACCTTTCAGCTGTGAGGGCGTAATCTGCTGTTGCCAACATTGTAACTGGACGAAGCGCAGGCCGGTGTACAGAAGAGTGAAGATGGACTGCAAGGCAATGAGCCTTTTAGCCAGAGGAGCATCACTTCCATCCTTGTTCAAAATGATCGCCCGCACCTGAGTGAGGATCGCAGGGAACTCAGAGGATCCTGCTTCAATGTCGTTGAAGAGGTCGGCAACAGGTTGGAAGGCAGCAGGTGGAAGAGCCTGAACTTCACGAGTACGCCACCCATCGAGGCCGGCTGCCGCTTCAGGTTTCCGGCGCAAAGCCTGTTCCCATAGTTGCCGAGCAGTGATGGGCGGTAGGGCAACAGGGCGACCTTTGTCATGAATATAAGGCCACACTTGTTTCAGGATCTGCATTTCGTGTTGGTGGCTCACATTCACTGAGAATACTGCATCCCATTTGTCAGCGATCACATCCATTGCGGTCTGCGGATCAAAAACAATATTTCCAGAGTCATCCTCAATGAGATTTTGCGGCACAACACGACCTTTCCTCTTGAGGTACTGATAGACAACTTTCCCGATCGTCAAAGAGGTGGTAGCATTCTTCATTGCTTGTCTCCACTTGCGAATGGCGGAGATTTTCAAATGCTTCAGCTCCTGGGTGATGGCTGCCAAAACGAGCTCCGTCACATGGTGCAAATCATGCAGAAAGAGTGTTTTAACAGACCAGGGAATAACATGTGCTTCTCTCAATCTGCGGAGCAGCCGTCGTTGAGTGTTGAGTAACGTATGATAGTCCATAGTCCCTGTAGACGGTCTTCCAAGGCGAACTCGAAGCTCTCTAAGGGAACGAAGGCATGCCTGCAACAACTGGAGCCGCGGCGAAGCCACACTGCCATGAGCCTCCTGTGAAGTCGCCATGGATGTCTTGCGGAATTTGGGGAGACGGCCCCGGACTCGCGGACCGTTCTCCCAAGTGGCCCCGTTCACAAGCAGCACTTGCGTAGCAAAGTGGTTAAAGATCGACCATCTTTTGCAAGGGTCTGACTCGTTGGAAAATTCTTGCTCATGCTGTCGCCACAGTTGCTCAGCTAAAGTGTTCACCGGACAAGCCGGGTCGGATGCGTTACAGGTCGTGACCTGTGAGAGATCCAAGGAAGCAAACCGTTGCATGATAGTACCAATCTGAGCAATGCGGTCCCAGGCAAAGGTTGCTTGGACAGGACGATGTTGGCGGTCTCTGTGGTCCAGTACCTCAATGCGTATCAAGGCTGCGAGAGCCGTGCGGTTCATGAGAATACCGTCAATAGAGGACTGCCCTTCATCATCAGAAGCCGCATGCTGAAAAAAGGTGCAAGGCCGAACAACCTCTCCAGTGTCGTTAGTCTGGAGAAGCGGGTCCGCCCATCCCCAGTGGTCCAGGGCGAGTTGTACAGAAGGGTACATACCAGGCTCCATTTGGAAATCACCAGCGATGACAATGGGAATATCAGCAAACTGGGATGCCACCATAAAAATATGATCCAGCAACTCGTTGTTCCGCTCAAACTTGGGTCGTTCTGATGCAGCATTGGCAACGGCATAGAAGTTGAAGGCCAACAACTTGACACTTGCAGACACCTGGTGCCAAGTAGCTGTCACCCGACATGTGGCACGGAGGATTGACCAAGCTCCAGAAACATCCATCTTGTCCTCAAAAATCTGCGTGAGCTCTTTGTGAGCGCAGGTGGCAACACCTCCAGAGGGAATTCTGAAAGTGCCATTACTAGCACGTAGTTTGTGCAATGGCTGAGAACAGAATAAGCCGAAATTGCAGAGGGCTGCTTTCCTCTGCGACTCGGTCAGATTGGATTCAGCCACCCTGGCTTCCTGCAACATGAAGGCATCGGCATTCCAGTGTAAGCAGCTGGCATTGGTGGCAAAGGAGTCGATGTTCGCAGAAATCATGGACCAACGCGGTCCCTCGCCCGGATAA